AAAAAAAAAAAAAAAAAGAAAACTCTTAACTGGGTTAATCATGTATATCTACCCTCTCAAAATAAAGAACATTGTATTGTATTGTATTGTATTGTATTGTAAGTGTTCATATGGCAAAATTTCCAGCCCGCTTACCGAGATCTCGGGAACCGAGCCAGCCCGCCCTCTCATATGAACACATCGAAAATTTTACAAAGGATTTAGAGGTGAGGCGAGATCTCGGAAACCGGGCCAGCCCGGTCAACCGGGCTCATATGAAGAGGCCCCGAGATCTCGGTAAGCGGGCTGGAAATTTTGCCATATGAACACTTCATCCCGGTTACCGGGATGAACGGCGGGATGAATTCTGGCGGTCCGGATGGCATCGTCTTGCATTGCCTGCTGTGTTTTCCACATCATAAGCATCCCATTTAACTGCAGTGATACAGCTTTAAGAGTTACCGATGCTAAGATAGGCCCGAAAGTTAAAATTTTTGTGTTTCGCTATGTTTGCTTTGTTTCCCAAATTTGGCGCCAGAACTCGTACCCAGGATCTTTGACCTTTTCTCATCTCGGAAACCGGGCTAAAATTTCTCATATGAACCCAAGGCAAAATTCATCCCGGTAACCGAGCCAGCCCGGTCAACCTGGCTCATATGAAGAGGCCCTTAAAGAACAAGTTTGATATGGAGCGATATGTACCTCCATGTAGCTCTGGCTATGTGTAAGGCTAATATTGAAGTCAAAATATTGGCCGCAGATAAAATAAGCCATTATCGTGCCAGGATCTGGCTCCTTACGGAGTGTATTGCCAGCCTTACATTCAGTTTGTTTTACTTTTGTACAGCCACTGAGGAGGGAGGGGGCGACTCGTTTTCCAATTACGTTATACAACTCTCTTATGCCCTGACAGGACTTGTAATGGCAATCAGACCGCCGCCGGTAGCTTTTTATGATATGGCTGGCAACTCAGGTAGGGTTTGACCATGATAGCGCTAGCATGCACAATTTTTGCCTTACGGCATAATTCGTCGTTCCGAGCACATGCTCTCAGACTTACTATCGATCGCGTGCCAAAAATTAACACAACTGACAAATGCGGAACGAAGTGATTTATAGGGCTCATATGAGATGATCAGTTTTATTTCGAAAAAATAATTCGCCTTATCTGAGCTTATTGTTCGGAAATGAAATGAAGTGCTGTATTTTGTTTTGGTGTCGTTTCGAAACGATTTGAGCTCAGTAGTTGTTTGCATAAAGATCGTGTGTTACTAGATGTGTCTTAACCTTCATCTAAGCACCAAGATTCACAATATTTGAGTTCAGACCAGGGTCAGACAGTCATTTTAAAGTCTTTTTAAACTTTTCTCTCTACGTAGTGTAAATAATATAAATCACTGCATCGAAACTACAAGGATAGAGACCCATACAAGGGGGGCTAACACAATACAATTAGTGACTTAAAAGTAGCTAAAAGTGGAAACAACAAGTAGATCATAACTGCGGCCCTAGATGTAGGTGGGAGGGAAGACAAAAAAAATCTGATATAAATTAAAAAGTAATCTAAGCTTTCTGCAATGTAAACTGTTTTCTTTTAAAATGCTAAATAAAATTATTTATTGAGAACTACTGTAGCTAAAAGTACCTGACAGTTTTTTGACTAAACCAAGTCGTTTTACTGCAGTTGTACAACTCTATTGACTGTGCTCATTTTTATAACCATGGTGCATGTACTGGTGTGTTCTGTGGCTAAACACAGCATACGATTTCCGCCTGATCCCGAACAGTAACCCCATGTAGCGGGAATCCGGATTCGGTTCCTCGCGAAGCGAAATTGATTATTTTGCCGGATTTGCATCGTGCGTAGAACGTATAGTGGCGGCAATCACTGCCAAAAATACAATCAGTTAAATCACTGGACAGTTTTACTTGTAATGACGGACTGTTATCTGCTGCAGGAGCCTATGACTATATGGTTGTCATAGGCTCCTGTCTGCTGCTATTTGCAGCCTTGAGGAAGAAGAATATCATTAAAAAAGCAAAACGGAAGTTTGATGGCGAAATTATTCTTGTCGGCCTTTACACAGGATTGCTTTTTCCGGATCCGTTGCGGCACCCTGCCGTATTTCCGCGAATAATAGCCAGGGGCGATTATTATTATTATTCACACAACAAGGGGACGATTATTTCAAATACTGCTCACCGGAAGTCGTGCCCTAAATACTTTGTTTTATTATCCCATTAAATCAAGAAATGATCATTTTCAAAATGTTTCAAATTTGGTTCCTTGATTAATATTCAATGTTAATACCCCTCGAGGGAGGGGATTATTTTAAATATTTTCGTCTAAGGGGGGGGGGGTATTCAAGGGCGGCGATTCAGGATCGAGGGAATGATTCATTTCAACCGAAGACGCCAATGAACTATTGACTGTCTTTACAAACGTGGCTATAACCGCTATTTCCTTCAACTGGAAATACAACGAGTCATAATATCACACGGAGAGAAGCACTTACGCCCCATGACGCTGGACAAACCAGAACGTGTTCGCTTCGTTATCAGCTACAACCCAGCCCTTCGTTCCATCTCATCCATTATTCGCAAACGCTTTCACATCAAACAAAACTCAATGCAGGGCTGGCACTACGGCAAAGGGCTGATTTATTATAGGCCAATATTTCGGCTAACAAAATTAGCCTTCCTCAGTGCCAGAACTATGCCTTTGCCGTAGTGCCAGCCTTGCATTGAGTTTTGTTTTATTTCACCCTTCAAGTGACGTCTGGCTACAGCATCTCTTTAATTAGAGATCCGGCAAGAGGAACCAGTCAGTTATATTTACGTGTTGCGTGGACCTCTGCATTCAAACACGTTCACATCCTTATTTCATCCCCCCATTGCTACAACGTCTTTAAAGCTGCACCCATTGTAGCTTATAGCCGTAGCAGTAACCTCAGTGATTTTCTAGTTAGGGCCAAACTCCACAATCTCACCCAACACAACCAGCCCTGGGGCTCATACCCATGGGGAAAAAACTGTCTCACATGTAAATACGTATCTGACGGACAAACTTCATACACATTCCACTTTACAGGTGAAACCAGACCTACAGGTGAAACCGCAGACCAGTTGACAACCCATCTAATATCTCTAAACCCACCACAGTCTCAGAGCACTTTCTTACTAATGATCGCGCTGGTAACGACATCACACTTATCCCACTAGAGGTCATAAATCTAATAGAAGTGTACGAAAATAAGCTAGAGAGGCATGCTTCATCGAGAGAGGTAAAACTCTTGAACCATTAGGTATGAATAAGAAAGATAAAATGTAATACATTCTTTATTTCTTCTATTTGTTATCATTTATTTATACTATTTTTACATTTCAAATTTCTTTCAAGTTACTACTTCAACGGTTTTCGTTTTCGCATACTTTTAACGTTCACTTTTTTTCATTTAATTTTCACGTGTTATTATAGTATCATATTGCACGCTATTCTTTTTCAAATTGTAACGTCTTAGCTTAACCTCTTCATTAACTTCTTCAAACCCCCATTTCTTATAATATTGTGATGTCGAGGTGGCTTCTCTTTATAAGCCTGGTGGTTTCTTGAGGTCTCCTCGCCTAACAACCTGCTGTATCCTGTAAAATTTGCAGTTAAAAAAAGGCTAATAAATGATGATGATGATGATGATGACGATGATGATATGTAAGACACTGAAGAAGGAAGACCCTGCCTTCCGAATTATTAGTAAAAAATATATGTATTCCCGACTGTAAAATCAGCCTTGCTTCTTTTGTTTTATTTTTTCACTTATTGCTGATTAGATCCTTAACAAGGTTCCGGTCCTTCTTTTTTGTAAGCTGGTCTTTGCATCGTTGAGAAAAAGCGCTGAAAATGTTATTAGTAGTAGACATTATTATTCCTACAACTGATTATTATTATTTTTACCTTATTTGTACTTAATTCCGCGGTTCCAAAATTTCGCGTGAAATTTATTACATAAATTCACTGAGAAAAAAAAGGTTAACATGTAATAACAATATGATTCAGGAACACAGGATGTGTATTGATTAATACTCAAAGTTTTAGCAGTTTTGGTGGGTAAGTTCCATTTTGTATCTTCGGTTGTTACATATAAAAAACGTTAAAACACTTAAAGCTATATGCATCTACTTGTTCCAATTTACCTAGAAATTTAAGCAAGTTCAGGGTCATTTCTAAAAAAAAAATGAAGTTGAGAACGCTTGAATCGTAAAAATAAAACCCCGCAAAATACTGTTCCACCAAATTAAGTACCCGCGTATCAATATGCGCTGTCAAGAGCTATAGGTTGTTTACTTCATTTCCAATTCAAAATCATATCTGCCGTCGGCGTTCTGTGGAAGTCGGAAGTCGGAAGTCGGAAGTCGGAAGTCGGACTAACAGGAAGTGACAGTCGTGAGAAGTCAGAAATCCTGTGTCCTGTTGCCGAAAGGCCGATTAGCGCTTATCCAGAATAAAGTTTTGTTCTGTTTTTGAATTTTACATTCCCACGTAATCTCGTAACCCATATCTCTTGTTTACGAAGCCGAAGGCCTTCGGTTTGTCAGCAAGAGATCTAGGTATGAGATTACCCGGCTTCCTATGCACTGCTCACCAGAGGAACACTTTGTGTTATCATTTCCGTATCCCGGAGTAACGGGTCAATATTATTTTGTAAGCCGTTGATTTGCATTTTCTTAGACAAGAAAACCATGCTTAAAAAGTGGCTTAATCCGGGTGTCACAGTGATATGGGCATCCCCATTCCCAAAACATTAGTGATATGGGCATGCCCTGTAACCCTAACCGTAACCCTAAACCAAATCACTAAGGTAATATGAGAAGAGGATGCCCAAAACACTAGGGTTCTGGGAATAGGGATGCATTCATGGGGTCCAGTCATGGGGTCCAGTCTTACCAAAAAGCCAAAAGCAGGAAGACGGACAGGAAGACGTGATTGATTGGAGTCCTGTGGGCGTAGTTGTTCCGCTGGATGAGGGTAACGCGGGCGGTCGGGAAAAATCGATGTGGCAATGAATGGATTCTCACTTCGGATGACGATCAGTAAGGATTATACTTACATTTCAGTTCCGTGTTACTTGATTATCGCTATAAAATGCATCTATTGACCGCACGAAATTTACTTCCTAACCTTCATTGGCGGAGTCTACTTTCGAATCGCACTTATGGGCGATTTTTTACTTCGCTAGAGAAAGGGAAAAGCCCAGTTTGTTTTTACTCGAATACCAGGGGAATTGCCTTTAGATCTGAATTGAAAAGAAAAGCCAAGAGAGTCGTTGTTAAACTCGGATCAGCTGTCATTACAAGAGATGATGAATGTGGAGTTGCCCTAGGAAGGCTTGCTTCAATTGTTGAACAAGTAAGTGTGAATGACCACAAGTCACCCAAGGCTTTTGTAATCTGTTGAAACTACTTGCAATACTCGATCGCCAAATCAGTTTTGTGGAAACACAGAGTTTTTCGCATCACACTTCAATCGACTTATCTAACTTTCATCTGTGTGTACCTTACTAATTCCCCAACGTTGACCCTCTCAATTTTTCCAAATGAGTTACCTAATGATATACCTAAACGCAGGACATGTAGCGTGGCACGTGTTTCAACAAATATGGGGTCTATTTAGCATTCGAGAAGATACAACGGACAGAAGAGTTGTGGTGAGCTGCCACATCTTTAAGAAGCATTGAACAGCATTTACAGCTGATTCGGCAAGGATAATTACTATAAATATGTTTATCACAAAACCTTGAAAGCCGTGAAGGAATAGTTACAAGGGTACCTAAAACAGTGACGGATCCATACCTTCAGATAAGGGGGCGGGGGCGGTCATCCAGACCCCGAGATAAGGGGGGGGCCTTCGGGCCTCAGTTTGGTCCAAAAATAAGGGGGGGGCGGACTCCCGGGCCGTTCTCCTGGATCTGCCACTGTAAAAGATACTGTAAAATTAAAAATAAGAAAATATTTAAGCCCTGGGGCTTATATTGTTCAAAGGCCCTTTTTGAGGGGCTTATCTATGGAGGGAAATTTGCATTTGAAATTCGATTGGGCTAGCATTATAGTTGGAGAGAAGTTTACCATTTTTGCTTTGTTCTACTTTGTATCTGAGGGCAATTTCCAAGTACAAGCTCCCAAGGGGGCTTATTTTTGGAGGGGCGATTTAACAGAGGATTTCTTACGTTACGAGTTTGGAGGGGGGGGGGCTTATATTTTGAGGGGGTTATACATGGAAGGGCTCATTTTCGGAATTTTACGGTAGTAATGCTGTGACATATGCTGTTGATACTGACATAAGTTAGGCAGTGATCCATCTGCTTGCGTGAGACTTAAAAGAATCGGAAATGACATTGAATGTCCTATTTTCATGTTGGAAGGTAATGATTACTATCAGTCTATAGAAAGAACTTGTGGGAACGTTGTTTAGAAAATGATCCAGTGGTTATCAACTTTGGTTTTCCCACAGTAAATTGTAGGAAATGATAGAAATTCAGATTGTTTATCCATATATTTAATACACAGTGTACTACCTTTTCTCTGGAAACCTGGTACTTTTCTTGCTGTTTATTACACTTTATTAAATAGCAGTTATTTAGGTTTATACTTACAGAAAACAACAACAGAAAAATGGAAAGAAAGATATGGTATTGAGTAGGACTTGAACCCGGCAACTTCTGCTTGAAGTGACTATACCTTACCACTACAACACAGAGGCTGACTATGTAATGTTTGGGGAAGAGTCTTTAATATAATGCCTTTTCCATGGAACTTCCTCTGGTAAAAAGCTGTTTAAAGATGATCAAGCTGCATTCACTGAGCTATTAACAGTAAGAAAACAATGTAAACGCATTCCATGGCAATGAATGAATGAAAGACCATAATTATATTATATAAAGAAACACTGATAAATGTCCTCGTCTGTAAAAAAGGACGCAAAACATATGTTTTGTTAGCTCAATTTCCACTGTTATTTTGAAGCTAATGATCAAAATCACATCCATTTTTGGCACATGCAGGTAATAGAATGGCATGACATTTTCTCACTTTGGCATCACCTTCTAGCAAGCTAGAATTTGTATACGATATCCCCTGTGTTGCAGGGTCAAAGAGCAAATGCTCATCTTCTTGTCAAGTTTAATGCTTCGACAAGTCAAAAGCTCTTGATTTGAAATCCAATCCCCAAGTTAACCATCGTACTCATCTGAAAGACTCCTGCATATCTTAAATGTGGTAAGAAAATTTTTCACAAAGAAGACTCTTGAGTCTGAGCAGTGAACAATGCATGCTCTCACCCACCAAACCTCCTCGTGTTTTTATGTGAGTTGTGGCACAATGCATTCTGGTAAAAAGTGGCGCAGTGCACTCTGGTTAAATGCAATGCATTCTGGTAAAAAGTGATAAATTCAAGAATTCATCCCACCTTATATATTTCTCTTAAATCCCGATTATGTTGCTGCTCGCTCACTCTCCTCGCTTTGCAGCAATAAAGAGAAAAAGAAGCTGATAGCAAGGCCACAAGTAATTTTTTTTTTACAAACAGGTCATTAGTCAGATCAGTGACCAGACCTTACCTGACAAGGAAACAGTCTGGTCCAACAAAACAAAATAAAAATAGAAAAACCGAGTAAAGAAGAATTTACTGCTTAATTCGCAAACTATTTAGTATCTCATTTAGGAGCTATGCCAGTTTTGTTACTGATCACTCTTCACTGACTTCATTTTTAATTCTCCTGAGACTGTAGGGTAACCTACATGTCATTTAATCTCTTATTTTAATTTGGTTTACATGATTGGTGGGGTGACCTGCCAAGGCAGGTTGCTAGGACTGACTGTACATATGTATACATGTTCATTTATAGTATATATTTTGCCTCCCTTCGTCGATTTATATATTATTCATTACGCGTTTATAGCCTATTCTACTTTAAATATTGTCTCTTTTGTGTATATATATATAAATTTATTTGCTTTTTGTCTTCTAAATTTATTTATCTCTTTATTTATTTTTTGAGGGCCATAGGTTAGAAAACTGTAATAGGTTATTGCGCTTCCCTCTTTAAATAAAGTTATTGTATTGTATTGTACTGCCAGACCGGGTAACCCTCTCAGCCTTGCCGTGTAAACATTTCAAGTTGGGGTAAACCACAAGCAGGGGTCAGATTTGTGTTACATGTACATCAAATTAAACTGCCTTTGGCGGCCACTTTTCATCAGTAAAAGTTACAAGAGAAAGTCACAGCAGTGAAAGATTGCAGCAAGAGCAGCATCAGAGAGTAGTCGAGCGTCAAATGCCAAAACACATTGTGGCCCCAGTATTTTTCATACAATTATTGTCTGTTATTATAGTTAGAAACAATGTTATTTCAAGGCCTGCTGAACTTACTGAACTGCTGATTAAATGAAAATATTATTTAAAAACTTCTTGCCTAAATGCACAAATAAAATGTTTCGTGGAATGAATAAATTATTCATTATTATCATTATTATTATTATTTTTATTATTATTATTATTACTTTTCTTAGGTGTCTGAGTTACAGAATGCTGGTCGGCAAATGCTGTTGGTTACCAGTGGTGCAGTTGCATTTGGAAAGCAGAAACTGCGGCATGAGATTCTTCTATCTCAAAGTGTACGCCAAACGCTAAAACCACAAGATGTCTTGAAGGTGTGGCTTTATGATAAGTTATGAAGTAATTAAGGAATCTCATCTGATCAGAAAACACTATTAGTACTCATGTACATAAGTTTTTCTTAAGTTATCTGATAGTATTTCATTGATATGATAATATTATCATTTATTGATATATTGGAGTAAAGTTCCTTGTCTAATGAAACAACATGACAGGCAAGGCGTGAACCCCGGACCTCCAGATCCAGAGTTCGAGGTATTAACAGCCCAGCTACACATGCCTCCAGATTTTCCTAAGGCTCACAGAAATTTTATAGCTAACAAGGTTGAGAACCTCTTGTTTTTTTCTGTTAAACTCAGAGCCTACTGATAATGTTAAGGCAAATTTACTGACGTGAGATCCTCCTTGAGCTGTTTACAAGTTGGGTGTATTTTTTTTTTCGTTTTGAGCTTCAGTTACCACTGTAAGGTTTGTAATGAATATGACATTGAAAACAATATTAAAGTAACATGATTAACTGACTGAAACTCCAAGACATCAGGAACCAAACCAACCTGTCTTTCTTGTCTGATCTCTGATTATTCTACCGATTTACTGGTATTCACAGTAATTAGTCTTGATCTGTCATACTGATACCTAAATTCATGATCATGGTATTGCCACGTGAGTTACTTGCAATAAGGAAGATGTTTAAATGTTTATCTTCTACACGGAGGAAGTATTGTTGATAATATGTTAAATGGTTATTTTCCTTGTTTGTTAAGTCAAAGCCTTATATTGAACCTCGGGCCTGTGCAGCAGTTGGACAGGGAGGACTATTGTCATTATATGAAGCAATGTTCCAGCAGTATGGCTTGACATGTGGACAGGTAAATATTGCAGTTGTATACGTACACAGTCTTTAATCAACCTTTTTAATTGCCTTTTTAGTGTTGTAATTTACTAAACTGTGCATTAATATTAGCTTGTAAACAAAAAAATAACGTTACATGTATAATGAAAGTGCATGTCTTAGAAAGAACGTCTGTAGGTTGATTCCTTTTGGCCCTTTTGACCGCAGGTGACATTCTAAGCAAATTTGTCACTTAGACCTTTTTACTTCAGTTGACTAACACCAAAATCTAAAAAATGATGCTTTTTCTTGATGGATGCCTTACCTGAATTAACTGTTTTGAAAATTAATGTTTGCTTTGTGAGACTCCCTTGCAATATACATGTACAGCGCTCCAAGCTCATTTTTTCAATAAGTCGCCTTTTGGCGACCTTCATTTTTAAAATGGTCGCCAATGGAAAATTTCGGTCGCCAAAATTGTCGTTTCATTAACGCAAGACACTTCATGCTACTTACATGAAGGAGCTACTGCTGAACGTTGTGTACGGAAATAAATCGTGTTTTTAACACTCCATTGTTACTTGCCTGCGGGTTGTAAACGCAGTACAAGATGGCAAAAACAGGCAAAGACATTTATGAGAGGTAACCAGAACAATTTACTACAAAGGCGGATGTTGAAACCCGGAACATGTATTTGCAGTGATATCATTGAAACAAATCTGATCAGATACGATTACGTGAATATACATTTGTTCGTACCGTCTACTTGCTAAGAAACATCTTTCTTTAGCTAAATCATTGGCATTGAAACCACTCACATATGTAAATTAAAACTTGAATCAACAATAACAATAACAATAACAATACTTCTGGCCTAAATAAACTGCACGTCTGGTCGACTGCCACTCTTTCTCGCCTGCCGACGTCAGCATTAAAATAACGGTGTTTTCTCTGAGTAGGAACACTCCGCATTTGCTTCAGAGAGCTTTTCGTGATTAGCATAGAATTCAGCGTTTAAAAATAGTTCACAAGCAGTCAGAAATCGTAAAGTTCCATTTAGCAACTCATCTCCCTTCATTAAAACTGACGCAGAATTATACAAACAATTCCCGTCCCCGGAAACTTGAAGAGCCCGTAGACCACGTGGAAGATTTTCATCATCCGGAATCAATGCTGTTCCAAGTGAATCTTCTTCATAGTTGTTGAAGGTTAGTTCCGAGATGCTTTTCTTATGGAGAATTTCCTCGTGTTCTCCCTTTAACTTGATGCCTTTTTCGGTTGCTGACAGATCACCGCTTGCGAATAGATCGCGTACTTTTTCAAATATTCTCTCGAAGTCTGTCATTCTTCATTACTATTTCCTCAGCAAGAGCAATAGAAATAAGCAAATGACAGCCAGCTACGCGCGAATGGGGATTTCACATCAGTTTATTGACAGCAGCGCTGCGCATAAAAGACCACACAGACATTTGACCTCCAGCTGTGATTCAGACAAAGAACTCCTCTTTGTCTTATTTGCATGAGAATGTGGTATGGGAAAGTCTCGGGGGAAAGTGGTGTTGCCGAAAACTTTGATGCGGCTTTTATTGATATTTTTGCAAGAAAATCATGTTTACCACTGATTTCGTCGATTTTTCTCTGATTTTTTATATCCAAAACAAATCCCGCTCATACAAAGCGTTTGAGCTGACTGCATGTAAACTTTGTCATTCACCAAGGGGTCTATCTATTTTTAGTAATTGTGCACAGCACCATCAACTCCACGTGTTGCCTAACCTGCGAGAGCATCCGGTTTTTTCGGCACTAGCTTCACAAATCACAACGCTTGTGAAACTAGAGCCGATAAAACTGAATTCTCTCGCAGGCTACGTGTAGCCAGATCAGCGTGAAAAGTGCCTGACTTAACTTTTCTCACGGGAAATTTAATATTTCTTCATGAAACACATTTACTCCAACAAAAGTATTTTTATTGATGAATATAATAAAAACAGCTTTTATTTAAAAAAAAAAAAAAAATAATAAACGCAACTTACAAGAGCATACGACTTGCCATCTTTTGTGTCAAAAATTTAACTGTTTCTGTCGGGTGGCCTGGGTGTAAGTCAACCCCGCCGAAGTTTCGAAGTAGTTTGGGCTCTCCCCAGTTTCTCCCACCTGAGTTTTCAAAATGGCCGCTCAATGAATTCGAAGCTGCGATACGCAGATCCTTATGCCAGAACTGTACACATGTCTTGCCATGCAAGAGGAACAGATTCATCATTGAATTTACACAGAAGAAAAGCTTGGTAATATTTCTTTAATTTAACGATGATTCCGTTAAAAAGCGATAAAACGTGAAGTCAACTTTATTCTTTTGAGCTTATATCCTTTGGTGGCCAAATGGCGACTTTCGCCGATAATTCAGTCACCAATTTTTTTTTTCACTCGCCATGGCGACCAAAATGGTCGCAGCTTGGAGCGCTGATGTACCATATGTAAGCAGGGGAGTATGGTTTGTTTTATTTTAATGGTGTAAGTGCTATATTTGCTAATTAAATAATAAAATAATAGGCCATTTGCATGATGACATCACCTTCCTACTGCAACCAGAATCCTTCAGGGTTTTGCTTTCTTGTGCAAATTAGGTCTTTTGTAATTTAAACCTCGCTGGGATGACAAAATTGGAATATGAAAGGAAAAAGGAAAAGGATTGTGGTTGTAGTAGTAAAACAATGCCATCGTGCAAATGGCCTATTAGCAAGTAACCATTTTTGGAAACCACATTCTCATGTCGGTGCTGCTTTTATTTCAGGTTCTAATAACAAAGCAGGATGTGCGAGATAAATATTCACTGGACAATTTACGTTCCACTGTGGAGGAGTTAATCTCTATGAACTGTGTTCCCATTATCAATGAGAACGATGTTGTTGCATCACCTGCAGATTTGGATTTGGATTTAGCAGGGGTAAGTTTATCACAGTTGACAGTTCTTTAATTTGAATAAACACAATGTTTAGTTTTTAACTCATGAATCTACCGGTAGTTATTGTGAGCAACCTTAGTTAGCTGGTCGGTTGGTTGATTCTGTAAACTGTCACTGTATCCGTTCTTTTATTGTGGCTTAACTGCTAGCATTAGAACTTAGGTATTGTATAATCAAACAAATAAGTTTTAGTTCTCTATTCAGGCAGGATTTTACCTTACCTATAAATGCCCAACAAATGGACAGGGTTGAAAAATAAAATTTGGAGCACTCGCCAACTAGGCAAGTGTCATTCAAATCGCACTCACCCAGATCAGTTTTCACTCTCTATTGTTCCTGAAAAGCCCCTTTGGGGGGTAACAATGAAATTAGTATGTATGTATTTATGTATGTACTCTCCCAGTCTCATCCATAAAAAAATAAAATAAAATAATAGCCCCATTACTCACTGCATAGAAGTTCACTCACTGCAGCCGTGCCGTGAAACAGACCTTAATTCCAAAAAAAAGGAAACAGCAACAAACTTACCTCAAGCAAAAGTGTGAAAATTATACAATAAAAGCAGCGGGAAAGCGCCATTTTCCTTCATTCTGCAGCTCTGTGGACGATGTGGTGTATTTAATGACGAGAGGTATTACTTTGCACAAGCTCATTCTTCATGTCAGTGCCGTAGCTAGTATGAGGCCAACCGAGGCACTCGCCTCGGTAAAATTGTGACGAATTTCACCGATCATTTTTATTTTACATAAGCGATCATCGGATATTTTTAACGCATCATGATATTACAAAGAATTCAGCAATTCAGTCAATATACTATGAAAAAATTACCATATCATCGATCTCAAGGGGCTACGTACGTTAACTCAAATTTTTTTGAACAAATACTGATCAAAACCATTGGCGAGGTTAACGGTCACCCAGATTATGTAGCTTGCTTCTGATTATTGCTTTTTAAATTCCACTTAAATTAACTCGAAAAAAAGTTACCGAAAGGCGCAGAAAACGCTGCAAATCGCATTTCCGAGAGACTAAAGTTCAAAATTTCTCGGGGGGGGGGTGGGGGGGCATGCCCCTGAACCCCCCTAGCAACTCCCACCTGCCTCGGTTGGCCGTTTGGTCTGGCTACGGCACTGCATGTAACAATCATCGAAGCAGAGGACATTTTGTCTGTTTAGAAACCCATTTTAAAAATACAAACCATAGAGATTTCAGATCGGTGAGCTGTTGACTTGAGGACAGTGTAGATTATTTTCAGATCGAACGTGAAAAGTGATGTTAATTTTGTGTACATGAAAACCATACTCACAAAACCAGGCGAGTGATCCTTGATTTGTACTCACTCAACCATTTTGTAACTTGCCTAGGGTGTCCAACCTTGAATGCATTAAGTAAGGAGAGATTTGTTAGCCGTCTGAACATGGTTTTGGTTCATCTAAAAAGTAGTGAGCCTCCGTATGGATACCTGTGGACGTCAATTTTGTTGACATGTGTTTTCTTTCAAATAGTGGATTTTTTAATGAAATAGTCACTTGTAGATCAAGAATTGGTTTTATGTGGTATCGTTACTATGGAGCCTAAGCAGCCACGACAGAGACGGAAACAAAAAAATTAATGTTAAAAAAGTGATAGGTTGAAGGGGCTGCCCGGTCACAGCTGTCTAGATTTTTTTTTTTAATAATGCCAATATTATTGTAATACATCCTTATTTGCTGTGGAACACGAGAAATTACTTGTGAATAACAAACTCAGAGCTCCATAGCAAGCAATTAAATATGTCTCCCAAGCATTATCAGTCAACCGTTACAAACATCAGAAATGAACTTTCCAAAACTGGTATAAGACTAACAAGTTTTCAAAAACCACAATTGCAATCCATTTCAATCCTCTTCAAATTCATCCATCCATCCATTTGGTTATTTTGTGTTTCACTCAGTTTGGTGGCGGTTTCCAATCAGCAAAGCAATATCTCCCCTGGCCCTGTGCATGTGAAACTTGACTGGTTATTATAACTTGCAATGAAATAATCTGACGTAACTTTTAATAATTATTATTAAAGAAAGTAACTTGGACTAATTTTTTACCATAAAACCCCGGAAAAAGCTGAACAATTTGTTAATACAGTCATGTGGCATAACAAAGCTCAAGAAAAAAGGGGATTTAAAGTTTCCAGGGGTTCTTACTGATTATATTAACTTGGAAACATTGTTCATCACTGCCCTTTTGCTTCAATAGTTTAATGATGTAACTTATACTAAAATTATTTTATTAGTTTCAAGCAGATTTTTTGTGACTGACCCTAGGCTAGTCTGGACCTTTATTAGACCTAAACCTTTACGTTTCTTCAAGTTTCAGTTAATGAAATAACCCCTTGTAATAAACACATTAACATGTTTAACTTAACAATAATAAAAACAACTGAGTAATTACAAAAAATAGCCTCCCAAGCAGATGTTCTTAGGGGTTCATCACACATTCCTGCCCCACGAACGTCTGCTGAACTTGAAAGATAACTTCCTTTTCCATTGTTCACAAAATTTATTGTCAGCTGGAGATCACATGCAGATCATCGGAGATCCAGTCAGCGCTGTTGATGTCAAAGTGTTGACAAGCCAAACACTTACTTACAAGCTCTGTAGAGTGTGTTACGTGTCCAAAAGTTTTTGCTGCGGACGAGTCCAGGAGATAAGCTTTATTGGCTTTTTGTATATTTCTCTCTGTAAAGGCTGGATTAGATGCCGTTTGCTCATAAAGTTGTTCTTTGGGTGATGCAACGGCCGGGGTTACCTTGTGAGACTGAATAAAAAGCAGATTTTTTTTCATGCATATTGTTTTGTAGTAAAACCGACTTCTGTTCAGCAAATTTAACCTTCGAGGTTGTATTTTTCAATGAGATTGTCAGGGTAGCCTCTGGTATGAACACTTGTGAGTTAACTGAGTAGTTTGTTCTAAAACCGTAAGGTCCTCACCTTTCATGAGACCTTCCTTACCTTTTCTGGAGCTATAAAGTCAAGCACGAAATTTCTCAAGGTCCAAAGTGCACTTCCCACATCTGGAAGTCTGCTGTGATTGGTCTACGTTTTTTTCCACTCAAGTCAGCAGACGTTCGTGGGGCAGGAACACGTGACGAACCCCTAAGAATGTCTGCGTGGGAGGCAAGACAAAAAAGGGCTACTGAAGGCTGAAGTGTTGCCTTTGACAACTCTGGTTAACATTTGTCAGCCCTTTGCAGCCCTTGTCAGTGACTGTCTCTGTCAGTTCTTGTAAAATTTTACCAGCCATTAGTCATTCTTTTTAGTACTGGGGCAGACAATCTGTGAGCCAGTAATTCATACAAGGTATAGGAAAAAATAAGGTTTTATGAAATTGTAAATACAACAAAGATGTTTCCTGCTTAGTTCCCTGTGGGTATGTGAAGTTTTGCAGTAGCGTTAGCTGTTTATGCCCCTAGCCCTCCCTCTCAGTGTGACGGTGCCTCGTGAGTGCTGCTCACAGGGTTGTCATGGTTACCTTCTAGGCTCACCTGAGGCTCCCTTCAGTTTCACCAGGCGCCTTCCCCACACCCATCTATTTTTGATGTGTTTAATTACAGAATTAAGCAGTCTTGATTGACTTTCTTTGATTAGAGTTAAGCAGTGATCTGACATTGCTAGGGTTGAGCACTTTTCCTATTTTAATGATTAGCGTTAAGCTCTGTTTAGGGTTAAACCTTCATTTTACGGATTAAGCGTAGTGTAAGGTTAAACAATTTATTATTCAAAATGGTTAGCTTTCAGTTGTGTTGTTCTGTATTACTGCCTTTTTGATTTTTTGGTCATTTTTTGCATGGCTTTCTGGCTCGCTCTGTGTTGTAACTCTTTCAGTACATGTACTTGTCTGTCCCTGTCAGCTTTTTTGAACATCTAGCAGCCTGTATTAGCTCTTGTTAGCCTCTGTCAGCCCTTTCCAGTCTCTGTCCCACACTTGTGACTCCTGTCAGCCCTAGTCAACCCAAATCAGACCATGTTTGCCCATGATAGGTCTTGCATTGTCAGCTTCTGGTAGCCCCTGGGAACTTTGATTCTTTCAACCCTACAGTGTAGGTAGAGCTTTTTTTAGCCTTTGCTAGTCCTTGTCAAGCCTTTTTTTCTTTACACATCCTTTTTAGCCCTTGTACATGTACATTTTAAGCTCCTGCTTCCCCTTCATCTTTTTGTACCATTTTACTTTCTTAAACAAGCCTCATGATCTCTCTGACCAAGAAAGAGAAAGTCTTGTGTTTGACTGAAATTATAGACTAAAAGTCAGTAAGTGCAGACACAAGTTATAAAGAGTGCATAACTAAGTTGGAGGATTTGCCACACACAAGTTTATCATTCACAAATCTTTGATTTGAAAATTTAAAGATTGGTCAGCATTGGGGGAAGGGAACTCCACTAGCGAGCAAGTTTTCCTAAGCAAACAAGTGAATCAAGCTAACCTATCAGCAGATCGATGGACAATTACTACCCCGCAGGCAGAGGCTACGTTTCTGCAGTGTGAACTGAAGTGCGTATTTATTAGTACCTTTTGCACACCAGCTCATACAGCAAAAATGTAGCCTCTACTTGCAGGATAGTCAATTAAATTTTCAGGGTTCTCATCAGGATTTTGCCTTGGGGAGTCCCAGGGTCCCCTCTGTTGAGAAATAGGGGCCCTGTAAGAACAGTGGGGGGACCAAGGTATAATCTGAGCCTGACTAACCCAAATGATCTGTTACGCTCCAAATGATCTGTTACGTGAAGTACCTACCTGATCCAATAATATGGTGAATGAGGTGTTTACAATAATTATTCGGTAACGATGCATGCATCAATCTTCACAATGCACACAGGACCACTGAAAGTCAAGGAAATAAAATTTAAGACTTTGAATCTTTTGATATCATGTTTTTTATTCATTTGGCTAAGCGAAATGTTGGGGTGTTAGGTTGATCATTGAAACTACTTAAATGTAGACAATCTAAAGTCCGTTTGACTTGTAGCATGCCCTGCGCCCTAACAGATGCACCTTCTTGGCTTTTTATGAGCCATCTCAGATTTTCTTGCGGGAATCCTGCAAGGCTGCGGCCTGGTGAGAACAGTGAATTCTGTGCTGATTTATAGTTCCCTTTTCACAGATTTCCCTCTATAAAGCTTTTTTAAATGCAAAGTGTTATCTCTACTGTAGTTGTTGAATAAAAAATGACCATGAATATTTTCATGGAATCTTGCATTTCCTGTTTTTTTTTTCGACAGCTACGAAATGCAGGTCACAGGTCACAAGTGCAGGTTAGAGTACAGGTCACCATGCTACGGTAAATGAACAATACTAAACCTGTCTTCTACAATGTAGCCCTAATCACAATCAGAAATAAAATTTTAGCTTTAGGGGTAAATGATGAGCAATGATCTGTACTTGTAACCTGTGATCTGTGACCTGTGTTTTGTACCTGCGAGTTTTTATCTCTTTTATGAAAAACCACTGTTTCAACAAGTGTTTCATTCTCATAATGCCTATATTTATTAAGAAGCTTGGGGCATAAAGATCTTCAAAAGTCAAACTTTATGCCTCTTTTCCCTCTTAATGTTGTATTATTCGTCATTTTCCAAATTTTACCAAAGTCAGAGTAAAAGCCTTCTCAGGTAAAACTGTTGACCTGGAAGCAAAGATATATCTACACAATTAACTTGACTTCATTTAAGTCCAAACAACTTTGAATTTCAGAAGATGTGTTTGCATTTTTTAATTCAACAATTTTTTTTTAGCCCATATAGTATCCCTCAAAGGTTCAAAAGCAATCATTTTCAAACTACATGCTGTAGAGTGTTTATGGTCCATCTCCCCTCTCCTATACTCATTTTTGCATTTCATGTGGCTGAAGCTTGCTCAAAGCTTCCCGCTGTTGCTAATGTTAGTATTCTGCTTTCCTTCCCTTTCACGCACATCTTCTTTCCCTACGTGTCTTCCACCTTGTTAAGATGAGGAGAGGTCCGGTAAGTGATGTTTTACTCAAAAGTTAATAAGAGTTTGGCTAAAAAGCGTAGTTCCTTTAAGATCATGAAGTAGTCTTCAATGGACATAGTTTAAACTGTGCTGTGGAGACTAATGAAGAGAAAATCTATGTCTGCTTCAGTGATTAAAATATAACAAAAAACATGTTGTGCCACATTTACTGCCTTTACAAGAAATAAAGTATGGTTTACCACTGTGCAGTGTTGTTTCTAAATAATCTGTCATAAATCTATTAAATGTTGCTGGCAGTTTCTGTCCCGAGTAGAATACATTAAAACTCTGCACAAAAGAATTTTGTTTTACAGATTGTATCCAGAACTGCTGCTTTATAGAAGTTTTGATCTGTTATTAATGTTTCATAAGGCCGGACTTGTTGAGTTGATATCAGTTAGTCTTTCCTCGGTAAAGTACATGCACTCCTGAAAGTCATCAAATGTCTTAAATAATGGAACGTTTAATTGCATCTGAGAGGATTATTTAGGAGTTCCTACATGCACTGTTTGGTATTACTATGGTGAAATAATTATTGTGGGTTACATTTCAATTGATATCAATTGCCACTGAAAAATGTATGTCTGATAAAAGAATGTACTATGTAGCGCGAAATATCTTAGGACTCAAAACACTCTTATAACTAAACATGCGGTATTTGACAAGATGGTTATATATTTCAAAGTGAATAAATAAATGAATTCTTTTAACCTTCAATTAAGAAATTAAACCTTTTTTGTGTTAATTTCTTGAGACATAATTTAAATGAGTACTAAATCTTTATTAACCCATTCGCTCCCGGAGATTTTGCCGAAAAACGCGTTTTGAAGCTAGTCGAGTGGTTTTCTGGTCACTGTCGTGCTATAAAGAGCTAAAACTTACCACAAACCGGTTTACAGGTCGTACACTTGGCGGCCTTCTGATCCAAATGCAAAATATCAGCTTGCGAAGTTCGGGCATGCGCAGAAAGCAAAATTTCTCTCCTCCCTTCTTTTTTCGCTTTTCTTGCCTCATTTTTTTTTCTCTTGCTGGGCATTTAGTAGGCTTCATTTTGGTGGGAAGAGTTTTTAGGAAAGCTTTAAGGATCTTAGGATTAGGTGAAAGGAAAGGTAGGTGGGTAATGGAACAAGATTTTCATGGAGATTTTCAGGTCCTTGTCACGTGGCTTTTTGCTTCTTTCTCCGGTGTCCTTGACTAAATTTTGCTCATTCTGGTATGGTTTGAAAGATCTCTTCACTCTGCACAAGTTAGAGAAGAAAGTTGTCCTTGACCGTTAAAACTGATGACGTCACAAAGGGTAGAAAGGACCTGGATCCGCACGGGCGGTTACGGGCGGTTCAGGGGCGAATGGGTTAACATGGTAATGATTTTCAGTAAAATAAGAGAGTTAGAAGATACAATAAATTGAACTTAAACTCAATTGTTATCAACTTATTCTCAATGTTATTTTTTTGTCGTTCAAGAATGCTTTGGGTCAGTCACAACGATTATTTTGCTTGAATGTCAGTAGCTGCAAATCGTATTCAGTAACATTGGTTGCTGGAATTGCGAACTGTTATTATGACCACATACTGTTGAGCCATGAGGTTGTTAGAATAGAACTGGCTACGCTAAAACAATAAATATGGTTGTAATAGCAAGGTCTTAAGGTCTGTAGTAAAACAAGATGATTGATTAAAAATTGATGATAGTTTGTTGAACGTAAACCTACATAAACCTGCTTATTCATAGACTTAATCCTTCTTTGTATACCTAAAAATTTTTACCTTAAATTTTTTAGCCAGATTTTTCAGCTGGTTATTAGGTGCTCTCCATCTCTTTAAACTGGCTTGAACATTGATGGTTTATTAAATTCAATGAAATCATGATCCTTTTTGGGCAGATTTACTTTGCAACCCTTTGTTGGGATCTTATTAAGGGATCAGTTCAATGATTTAGTGCTGCTTTGAAGAGTCCTTGCATTTTCCCTCTTTGCAGATGAGGAAATTGCATTGTGCTAATAAGGGATGTTGTCAAGGAAGATACCTTAGCCCTGTGTTATTTGCGTTTCTTTTGGACCAGCCAACTTGACAACTTTCTCTTAGACCAATCACCAAATAAACTGTAAACTTTTCTGGGATAGTTTAAGATGGAATCCACCAGGAAATTGAGTAATATTTTAATTTTCAGTGGACAAAAACCTTGTACCAGAATAATTTAAAGAATATTACATTCTTTTTTACATTTTTCAAGGGCTAAAGATGTAATTAGTTATCTATAATAACACCAAAGAAAATTTCTCATGTAAGTCTGAGAAAATGAATGTCAAATTTCACAAGAATTGTGAAAACACAGGTAAAATTCTGAAAATTTCATGTATAAGATGTAATTTTGTGAAATTTGACATGTATTTTCTCGGGTTCCCCATAAGAAATTTTCTTTGGTGTTATTACAGACGACTAATTACTTCTTTAGCCCTTGAAAAATGTAAAAAAGGATGCAATGTTCTGGTACAAGGTTTTTGTCCACTGAAAATTAAAATTACTCAATTTCCTAGTGGATTCCGCCTTAAAGTTTAATCCCCTCGCAGTTTTTCATTTCTCACAAATAGGATCAACACTTCGTAGTTAAATAAAAATAATCTGCTGAACTCAGGTCCTAGCTTTCCCACTGTGCATTACAGTCTAAATGACCAATCTGTAGGTCAAGAACTCATTTTAAGTAAACTTCACTCAGTAGGGCTTGTTATGGGTTTTGTCTCTGAAATTTAAATCTAATAATATATAATAAGGAGTTTAAGTTCAAATTGTAATAATTGTTGCTTCTTATTTAGGTGATCAGCTTAAAGGACAATGACAGTTTATCTGCTTTGTTGTCTGTGGAGCTAAAAGCTGATTTACTTATGATGTTGTCAGATGTGCAAGGCATTTATAGTGGCCCCCCTGATCAACCTGAGTCACGTCTCCTGGATACTTTCAGACCAAATGACGTCACCAATATTGAATTTGGGGAAAAGTCTCGGGTGGGTCGTGGTGGCATGGAGTCTAAAGTCAAGGTAGTCTCTTGTTTGTTTGTTGTTAATTGTTGTTGTTGTTGTTGTTTTTTTTACAAATAAGTAGTATTAAATAGAGAGTGTCTGCTGTTAGTGTACATGTAATCCTTTTTAAGTAAAAATATATAGAAACACAGTTAATGTAAAGAAAATACAGCTGTAAGCATGTCTACCATTAGCCAAAGGCTAATGTGTCATTTTTGAATGCCTTTCAGTGACCAAAATTTAAAAAAGCGGTTTGGGTTTATTAATGAGCATTATACATGTAGCATTTCAAGTTGGAGTACCAATTATTTCAACGTGCACTTGCATTATTTGTTTTCTATTCCAACCATTGTCTTGGCAATGTTCTTACACTGCTGGGAATTTCTATTTCCTTCAAGTAACATTTAATGTTCTATTTTGTGACTCATAAAGCCTTCACCATGACTGGTTCTTCTTTTGTCTTGGCTCACTAAAGCCCAGAGAATTATTTCCCTTGCAAGGTCTTAATACCTCTCTCTCTTTGTTATCGTACCTGTTTCTGTTTTAATCATAACTATAACAAAATTCTCACATCTGATTGGCTATCAACTGTATGATTTCAGCACTAATAAGACAGTGTAATAGGACAGTACGTGTCATGCCAAGTAATTGGACCATAAGCACCATTGCAGCACTCTATATTGCACTTGTGATGAAACAAATCAGACTCCTGCTACGTGGTCATTTGAATTAGTTAATCACTCATATGATTACAGACTGAATTGGACTCCACTCAGTCTTATTGCCATTATTTCTCATCATGGACTGTCTGTCATTATTATCGTTGTTATGGCCATTATCATTATCATTATCATGCCTGCCAAGTTTTCCACAATGGTCTGCCTGAGTATCTCTCTGAAGAGCTAGAGAAAATTCAGCGCCGTGCACTTAGAATTATTTTATCAGATTTAGGCTATCAAGAGGCTCTCAAAGAGTGCAATATTACCACCCTTCATCAACGGCGCCAATGGCTGACAGAGCGCCTATTCAATGAGATTAAGGACAACAGCCTCCACAAATTACATGGCCTTTTGCCGCCACGTAATCTTAGTACTGTAGCCTTAAGGAGAAAGCGCACTTTTAACGTGCCTCTTTGTAGAACAAATAGACTAATGAATAGTTTTATCATGCATAACGCGGCTATTTTCTAATGGTTTTATTGTAAATTCGCGGCTATTTTCTTAAATTTCATGACGTAGTATCTTTGTTCCTTTGTTTTATATATTTTTATAATAGTTAGTCTTAGTATTCAACGTATTGCACAGTCCGTAATCCAGCCCTTGGGCTGCAATGGATTTTTAATAAAGCCATCTATCTATCTATCTATCATAGTCATAATTGTCTTTCTTATTGTTTAACATTTTTGTGAACTTTGACTTCTTTGCCTCGGTCCACACACAAACATTAACACTTCATTACATCTATCCTAACTTAAAAATCACATTGGTACAAATCTGATTTAAAATATTTATAAAACAAAGTGCTGGAAAGAATTCAGCCAATGCTCCGCAGCCATTGGTAAACTCATGCTTGTTATGTCATATGTTTTAGGCTGCTGCCTGGGCACTTGAGAGAGGGACTAGTGTGGTGATAGCTAATGGTACCTCCACTGATTATGTGATTCGCCAAGTACTGGATGGTCGTAAGGTTGGAACATTTTTCACTATGGTAGAAGAAACAGGGCCATCTGTAGAGAATCAGGCAGCAGGCGGTAGGTGTTTCTTTTAAGCTATTTCTTGTTTCTGATGTTGCTAAACAAGACTGCTGGTTTTAAATTGTTAGTCGTGATACTCAGTGTAGATGTAGTGGTTCGACAATTTTATCCTTGGTTTAAATTTTATTCTCCTTTGTGCTAAACTCATTATCATATATACATGTAACCAACCATACCCAAAAACAAAGGAAAATAAAATTTAGACCAGGGATAAAATTGAACCACAACATAGAATGATATTATTAAGTTTTCTCTAAATGTTTCTTACATATAAAATTAATGTTTACCCAAGTCTATGATGTATTTCGTTTCTCAACGTTGAATAATTTTCTGTTTATTTCATTTCCTTGTTTTTAAAAGCTGATATTTGTTTGATTTGTGGGGTGTGTTAATTAGTTATCTTCTGCTGTTGCCATTGTTTTCTAGCTCGTCAAGGTGGTAGAGCCCTTCAAGCATTAACTGCTGAACAGGTATATTTAACAATTATTCCACGAGGGCGCGTTGGATATGAGATGATAGATAGCCAACGAGGCGCATTGCGCCGAGTTGGCTATAATCATTTCATATCCAACAAGCCCGAGTGGAATAATTGTTTTATTAAAAACGCCCACAAAATCTCGTTGAATCGCCCCGACTAGAACAAACCGGAAAAGACAAGGGACTTCCGCTATTCACATGTCACACGTCTATCAAACGGACTCGCCTAGACTGCATGAATGAAAAATCAAAACATTTTAGCGATGAACATTAGTTTTTTAAAAACTCATCGGGATTCTAGGATTTTACACAGCAGAACAGCTAAAAAAACCTGGCAGATAATGTGAAGGAAAGGAATTTTTAGGTGACAGCCGTCGAAATTACTATGAATTTGGATTTTCGGTGCTGTTATAAAAGTAAGAACAACGGAGAAAAACTACCGGTATTACCTCGGTCGCTTGTTATGAAGTTGTTTGAAGCCACAAGCTGGTTTTGCTGAACGAGAAAAGAAGCTATACTGCCGCCTCGATTGCTCTAGTGAATGGCTGCATAGCCTGTATTTGTAGCTGGTTAATTGTGATTTATATTCCTGATGTCGGATAAACAAGCTGCAGTTATCTATCGGCGAGTGACTCGATCGGCGAATGGCTTCGCGATCATGAAGAAACAACACTTGTCTTCTTTCGTAGCTGGTCAGGGTACTTTAGTTCCATGTGTTTTCATGTGTTTTTCGACAAACTTTCAAACAAGCTCTTGTGGCTTTTTTGTTTGTTTTTGTCTTTTTTCTTTCGTTGAAATTGCATTTCTAGTATTCTAAGAAATGAATTAAAACGATTTGCCTCGGGCGCCATTCTATCCTTCGCGAAAAAAAATCTCAGCTCGCTTCCAATTTTAAACTGACGCGTACACCGACCATATATGGAGAACATGGTATATTAGCTCATATACCATAACGGCTAAGCCAATCAAAATGCTAGAATTGCATTATCCAATGATTCAGTTTTTAATAAATTGTAATATTGCCCGTTAGTCGAGTGACGTAGCCAAAATCTGTTATAATTGTAAAGAAAAGGTCACATTGTAGTTTATAAGAGGAGTGCATTTCTAATTTTTGCAGGCCGTCAGAAAATCCACGAAATTCAAGGAACTTATATGAATAACGCAAATAATTCATAAAAAATGGAAGCAACTTTTTAAATTGACGCTCAACGTAAAGTGCGTGTCACATCATCATACGATTCTTGTTTTTGTTTTTAGCGAGGAAAAATCATTTACAAACTTGCAGACCTGCTAATTGAACGCAAAGATGAAATCCTGGATGCCAATTCCAAAGATCTGGAGGAAGCTCGTTTTGAAGGTCGGCTGCCAGCTCCTATGATTGCCAGGCTTCTTTTAACTCCAGCTAAACTAGAAAACCTAGCAGAAGGACTGAGGCAAATTGCCGATTCATCACATGATATTCTGGGTCGTGTCATCAAGCGGACTAGGATAGCTGTTGATCTAGAGCTCAAACAAGAGACTGTACCTATCGGAGTTCTACTTGTCATCTTTGAATCTCGCCCAGATGCCTTAGTTCAGGTATTGTGTTAAAGTAAAATAAAACATGCGTGGAAATAATTGTTGAGTTATTTAAAAGTATGCCATTGTGTAAGCCTATATTTATCACTGAGAATTTTTAAGATTACTCAGGAAGTGGTAAGAGCAGCATTAGCCTCAAGCAACGGATTTTATCATTTCTTTACAATGAGTCCCGTGAATTATACACACTTAAACTGATGACGTAAGCCACCTACTTTCATATTACTCTCGATGAAGTGTGGTTCATAGCGAGACAATGCCTTTGTTCAGACCAATTGCGATGCACACATTTTTTAGGCACTTTATAGATAAATAAGGTTGATAAACTCAAGCTTTCATGTTAAGAAAGTGATGTGTCTTCAGTTTTTGTTCAGAAATAAGGTCCCTCATCCCCTTTCTTATTTCAGTTTATGCCCTGAGTTTTCAGTTTCAGGACGTGCCGCATGTCTTGTACCCAAGTAAAGGTTATTTCTCTTGTTTCATAAGTTAGTCTGGCATTTACATCAAAACATCTGTTTCACAGAGATTATGCTGGGCTTCACCTCTTGTTTTGGCGTAACGCGTGTTTCCCGCTTATGATGACCCACGTTCTTGTACTGAACTGTCAGTAAAAAAAATCCAATTGTTCGTAAAGCGCATTTTCTATATAGGTATTCAAATGCGCTACAAAATTGGTTTAAAAAGAACGGTTAATAAAATAGACATGAAACGAGCGTTATAAAATATGCATAGCGACAAATAGCTACAATCTTAGACAAAAAATTGACGTTGCCATGTTAAGTTTCAAGATGAAGCTTTTGAAAGCACTGGCAACTACTAATGCTTCCCCCTCCCCCCCTCTCCCCCCCTCCCCGTAATAAAAAAACAATGTTGAAGTTCGGTTGGATCATTGCTGACTAGGACTGAACAACATTGACCAGGGTGGGGTGAGGGGAGAAGCCTAACCGGGATCAAATCTGTGGCGCTCTGGGCTGAGTTGCTCAAAGCATGGTTAGCTTTAACCATTGGTTAAGCAGTATTAAAACCAATACGTTGTCAAGGTATTAAACGCTGGTTAACGCTAACCATGCTTCGAGCAACTGGGCCCTGTGGGTTAGAAAATGCAAAATTCTTAACATCTTTTTTCTACGTTCGTAGGCTGGTCACTGAATAAACTGCAACTTGACAGTTGTTTGTTTGTTTTTACATATATACACTATAGGTTGCTAGCCTTGCTATAAGCACAGCCAATGGTCTGCTATTGAAGGGTGGCAAGGAGGCGTACCATAGCAACAAATGCCTTCACAGTCTGGTACAAGAGGCTTTGTCGCTGTATGTTCAACCGGAAGCTGTCGGTTTGGTTAGTCTCTTTTCGTGACATCAAAACTTTAACCTTTACCCTTTGGTGCTTAATGGTTTTTGTGGACTGGCAGTTACTGGTCATTTCATCGAAAAATTAGTTACTAAAGACGTGCTTTCTTCGTAATAATGAAATAAATTGTTTCGTTCCGTTAAAAGGTTAGTACCCGAGAAGATGTTAACGACCTCCTTCAGTTGGAGAAGTATATTGACTTGATTATTCCTAGAGGCTCTAGTGAAATGATTGAGCGTATCCAGGCTGAAAGTAAAGGAATTCCTGTGCTCGGACATGCAGAAGGAGTTTGTCACGTGTACGTGGATAAAGATGCTGACCTGGAAATGGCCACAAACATTGGTAAAGTTCATATTTTTGTTTACATGTGTTGCTTTTGTTTTTTACTATGAGATGATGGCGCTTTTCAGCGAGTCAATGTTAGTTCAATATTAAAATAAAAAGAGAAAATCTGAAAAAGGTTCATAGGTCAATTAGTTAGTGTTGGTTATTCCTACCAAGCTTAAGTTCGTCAAGTTGCAGTCGTGTGCGGCTTCATAGAAATTTTTCAACAGCCTGCTAACGCTGAAGGCTTTTCGTGAGCCAAACCTAATTGGAAGGCCGACCCAAATTATTTTTCCGGCTGAATTAATTATGACGCCGATCTTAGTCAACGGCCTATGACAACTTCGTGATAAGTACGTCGATAACAACCAATGAAGTGAGTTGTTTTTTACTTTGTTTTTAGTGGTAGATTCCAAGTGTGATTACCCAGCTGCATGCAATGCTATGGAAACGCTTTTAGTGCACAGGGACCTCATCAAATCTACTTTCCTTGAGCGACTTCTTAAAGCTCTTCGGGAAAAAGGAGTAAGTTGAATCATTTTCTCTCTACTTAGGGGTGGGAGGGGAGACTTGAAGAGAGGTTGTTGGTTTTTCACGTGTCTGTTGAAAGGTAAATATGTCAAATATATTTACTTAAAACGAGCTGTGGAGAGCGACAGTTTTTTTATGTGTATTGCGTTCGTTTGTAGAGGAGACTGCTTATGTAAGCCAGTAAACATCAGTGCCGCAGTTAATTTTGGAAGCTTACTTATCGTGCAGAAGCCTCAAGGCTTTGTTTTTTGGTTGCAAATTGTGACTGAATAAATTAACTGCGATGTTTGTATTAGTCAGTAAGTATAAGAGATAGGAATGCCAGTTAAACGTTGTGTACGGTCAAGTCAAGAAAAGCTAGCAAAAACATATAATAAAGACGTCCAGCTTCGTAACGATCGCACTTAATTAACTATGGTCTGCAAAAAAGCGCTCGAGAGCACAAGGCAACTTAAGTCACACTAAACCAGTAATGTGTATGAACACATTGTATCTTTTCATACATACAAGTTTATACTAGAAAACTAATGTGAGTGTAAGTCTTTGTTTTGTTTATTTAAGGTAATTGTTCATGCTGGACCCAACTTGGTGAAGACATTGCCGCTAGCTCCAGCTCCAGCCCGCAGTATGAAGAAAGAGTACAGCGGTCTTGAATGCGCAATGGAAGTTGTCAGGAATGTAGAGGAAGCTATCGATCATATCCATCAGTTTGGAAGTTCACACACTGATGTTATTGTCACTGATAACCGTAAGTAAATGGAGGCTTGCTCATCGCTAACTTTGTGTTCTGCAGGCTACCAGTTTCTTTGCCTTTTACCCGTATCTTTTATGCAAATAATTAAAGCTGTAATGCCACCGCGGTATCGCCGCTGAAATATTTCATATTTCCCTGATTGTAGTGAAATTTGTCTTCACCTCAATAAACCGGTTATTGAACACACAAAGTGGCGGTTGCATCGCCAATTTTGGCTGTCGTAAAAGCTGACAAGTTCAATTACTACTACAAATTAACTGAATTTGTCTTTCTCTCGAGATTTTGCTTTCCTTTGTTTTACAGTCGATAACCCAAAGACTTTCTGAGAATGACGTTTCAAACATTGTTTCTGACACTGGTTTAATGTTTATTTGTAGGTGACACCGCCAATCACTTTTTATCATCCGTGGACAGCGCATGTGTCTTTCATAACACTAGCACCAGGTTTTCGGACGGCTATCGATTTGGACTTGGTAAGTACACTTTATTACAGACTGATTGTTGGTAATCCTGGTCAATTCTGCTACTTCTTGCTGTTGTTAAACATTATATGCTGTAATTTCTGTAGGCGCAGAAGTTGGTATCAGCACAGGTCGCATTCATGCTCGTGGCCCTGTGGGAGTAGAAGGGCTCCTAACCACAAGATGGGTACTAACTGGTCAAGGGCACACGGTATCAGACTTTGCTGACGGGGGTCCACTCAGGTATCTCCATGAAGCTCTTCCTCTTGTAGAGGATCCTGAGAGTTCGTCGGACGAGGAGCCCATTGTGGATACAGGAGATGGTGAAGTAATTCAAAAATAAAACCTGTCGTACCTGATCAAAGCCGGTCTTCACTGAACGAGCTGATGTTTCGTGACTTGTATTACCTAATCGGCCTCTAGTAAATGTAGGATTTGTATTAATTCTTGTTCGGATAAAGAAGCAAGTGACCATCATGAGCTATCATAGCAATCTGGAAAACGAACGAAGAGATTCAAGTCTAATTGCGGAGTATCGTTGAGGAAATACTTAATATAACTGTCTCTATGATAAGAGAAAACATTTCAACAAAGTGAATAATATAAAAAGATCTATTTTTATACAAAAACCTTCCCTCAACATAACACAGATTTATTGAATTTTGACATTTTGCCCCTACCATCTTACAGTACAACAGAAGAAAATAATCGAAAATGTTTCTTAAATTATGTAAGTTATAACTTCTACCATCACTGCAGATAATTATTGCTTGGAAATAATATGTCCTTAGAAGCGGTCATTAATTCTAACAGGCCGGCGTCACTGAAGTTTAAATTGTTATTTAACTCTTAACGAATTAACCCGCGGTTCCAGGCGTTCAGGTTGTTGGAATTGCGTAAAGAGATGTCAGCTGAAAAGAACTTTTCCTTTGAAAGGAAAAGGCTCGTCGCGAGTTCTTGTCCTCCACTAAACGCTGTATCCGAGAGTTTCATGTCGTTGTTGTGCAGATAGCGGCAAAGAAATATTCAAATAAACTATGAAACTCTTGCAGAATTGTCATGTTGCTTAGTAAACTACGCAGTTCTCATTGCCGCCGTCGTCGTAGCATAAGTTCCTTATCAGTATTCGAGTGTGTTCAGTGGCCTAGTTTAAAAGGGACAGGTTCACGGTTCAGCGCATGCTCGTTAATTAAAAGGCTGTTTTTCTGCCGGGTCATGCAGTATCGTCTATGCAAGCAATATGATCATGTCATAATGTTGCCAAAGAACCAATCTGCACACTCCTCTTGCAGTCACTTTATCAAGTCAGGTGCAAATAGCTGTAAATTAATCAACTATGGAATAAAACCTTCGGGTCAACAATAAATTCAACGTTGGTAGTGTTGGCATAATCCACTAATTTTTCTGCGATTTTAGTACTCCTCCATCCCACATCAGGTTACTCTAATATACACTTCTACTTTGAAATACACTCTGAGATCGCTGAGATACATGTAAGTGGGATTATTCACCGATAGAATTAATAATAAATTGGAAAAAAGTATTTTAATTAATTAGCATGCGCTGAACCGTAAACCTTTCCCTTTCACCTTTCACACTGTAAGTAGTTCTGCGCAAAGAGAGCTTTCTACTGAAACCGGCTTCTACTCAAATCCGTTTAACTAAAACGGTTAGCGTTCTGCAGGTACAGTGTTGACTGAAGACTTAAAGCCACAGAGCGCACAGAGGTTATTGTTGTAATTTAATAATCTACATAGCATACGTGAAGTCAGTAACTAATAAACGAAGATATCAGTTTTG